TAACACCACGGCTGAAAACATTGCGTTTTACAGTCGAACAGAAATCTGCACTTTTAAACTAATTTCAGTTAAGATCATGATATGCCAACATGATAAATTCAAGTATTACACGAATAACAGTCCATTCATGAAACCGTACGAGGCCACCAGTATGTAATGAGATAATATGCGTCTGATATTATCCTTCATTTAAACGGATTCTTTCATTTTTCTGGACTAAGTCATATCGTGCTTTGTGGAGTAAATGTGGACAGAGACGTGTTTAAATTTCTGACTCACCAACAACAGTGGGTCGTTTATTTTAAACGATTTAAAAACACATCGCACATTTACATTAATTGGCAGATTGATTACTATTAACACAGCTTAATTAATGAGCTTTGCAATGAGAAATCATACGGCCATGATATCTCACTTGCAGCTTTTGAAACAACAGACATTTCTGAAGATATCTGGATTAATTACTGGCAAGATAGAAGTTTAAAGATGGGAAAATGAAGGAGTTTAAATGGAGAGAAAATGGATGAGGGAAAGTGTATTGATAACGAACGGCACCCTCCTTTCGACCCAGCTCCCCTCGGTACACTTCGGTAGTGGAAATCGACTCTTTACCTTGCAGAAGATACCTCAGCTTCGGTGTAGAGTTCCCTTTCAACGCTACCATTTCAGCGTCTCCGTAGGATAGCTGAGAAACGTCCGGAGTAGTGACGGTACTTCGTTCAACAGCACGCTCACCTCCCGGGTGGACTCACATGAGCTGTGAGCCCGTCAGAGTTCCACTCAGATGTGGAAGATTCCATAATCCCCACGAGACTCGGAAGAACTCTCAACTAACTCCAGCACTTCAGAACTTTCGTTCGGTTCTGCTCTCAGAACTTTGAACTCCTCTCAGAACTTTGAACTGACTGGAACTAGGAAGTGTCGACATTTAAAGAGTTCTGTTTCCGGTTCATTTGAGAATTCCTGATTGGTTGAAAGAACCAACAGGGGTGTGGTTTTAGTGATGTAAGAGGTTACTACAAGTCAGAAAAACAGTGAGATGTTTTTGGAACAGACAGAGAAATGTTTTTGGAACAGACAGAGAAATGTTTAGGCGAGATGACAGACCACAGGTGCCAGCTTCTTATTTCTGTCTGATAGGTTTAAAAACATGACAGTTCGTTCCAATAAACTTGATTGCGACTGTCTCCGACTTTTGACCGACATCACTCCTTCTCATTTCAGACAGAAGATCAAAAAATGCATAATTACTCTGTAACAGACATTAACTTGATTTCTACTTTGAATGAGGATTAAAAATCATTAATACTGTTTCACAGTTGATTTAAAATGAGTAGTTCACTTCAACATTTAAAATGATTTGAACTCAACACACTTTGATTATCAAGATATTGTAAAATAGTAATGATAATATAAAAAGAGAGTGTTCTTTCAATTGATTAGTGCAGGACACACTTAGAAAGTCTCTGGATGAGCTTAATTTGTATTTCTGGATTCAAATCAATGAAATAAAGTTTCTGTCCCATGAAGGTCCTCAGGGTCAGATTTTGACCTGAGGCTTAGTTCACTACAGTGGGCTCAACTCGACACACAGCATGGGCTCTGGAACTGATCTCCTTGAGAGGGGTTGACTTTATTCCACTGTGGAGTTGCCCATGGTGAGAGGTGTCGAGCTGGTGTTGGTCTACTTGTAGCCCCCTGGCTTGGTGCTTGTGTGTTGGAGTTTTCCCCGGTAGATGAGAGGGTGACTTCCCTTCGCCTTCGGGTGGGGGGGACAGGCTCTGACTATTGTTTGTGCCTATGCGACAAACTGTTTAGAGTATCCGGCCTTCTTGGAGTCCTTGGCAAGGGGGCTAGAAGGTGCGGCAGCTGGGGACTCCTTTATTCTGCTAGGGGACTTCAATGCCCACGTGGGTAATGACAGTGTGACCTGGAGGGGCGTGATAGGGAGGAACAGTCTCTCTGATTTGAACCCGAGCGGTGTTCTATTGTTGGAATTCTGTGCTAGTCATAGTTTGTCCATCGAAAAAACCATGGTCGAACATAAGGGTGTCCATAAGTGCACTTGGCACCAGGACGCCCTAGGTCGTAGACCGATAATTGACTTCAAAGTCGTGTCATCTGATTTGAGGCCGTTTGTTTTGGACACTCGGGTAAAGAGAGAAGCTGAGCTGTCAACTGATCACCACCTGGTAGTGAGTTGGATCAGATGGCGGGGGGAGATGCCAGACAGACCCGTTAGACCCAAACGTGTAGTGAGGGTTTTCTGGGAACGCCTGGAAGAAGAACCCGTCAGAGAGATCTTCAACTCACACTTCCGGGAGAGCTTTAACCGCATCCCAGCTGAGGTGGGGGACATTGAGTCTGAGTGGGCCATGTTCTGCACCTCGCTTGTTGAGGTAGCTGCCTTGAGCTGTGGCCGCAAGGTTGTCGGTGCTTCTCACCGTGGTCATCTATGAACACGGTGGTAGACACCCTGGGTTAGAGAGGCTGTCAAGCTGAAGAAGGAGCCCGTGGGGCGGCTGTGGCTGAGTGGTTAGAGCAGTCGTCCTCCAATGCGAGAGTTGGGGGTTCGAATCCACCAGCAGTCACATGCTGAAGTGTCCCTGGGCAAGAAACTGAACCACTCATTGCCTCCGATGTGTGTCCCATTGTTGTATGAATGTGATAAAGCTCTGATTAGTCTCTTTATAATGATTTGTTCAATTAGCTTTGTAGAGATCTAGTAGAGTGCTGTATGAATGGGTAAATGAGGCACAGATTGTAGCGTAAAGCGCTTCGAGTATCTCAAAAAGATAGAAAGGCACTATATAAGTACAGTTCATTTACCATTTAGTATTATTCCACGGTAGTTTCTTTTTCTTATATTTTCTTAAATAAAATATTCAAAGACATTTTGAGTGTGTCTGTGATGGTACATGGTAATATTAATATGTCACAGCGGAACGTGTCTGCATGATGGGAGCTTGGGGGAGGGGGGCCACAGGAGGAGGTGTTAGCCTAGGGCACCAAACAGGCTAGGACCACCCCTGGGCTTCAGCAATCTTAGGGGCCGTTTACACGGCGCGTATTTTGAGTGCATCCGCAGCTTTCTCTCTGCGGATCATTTACACGACACCAGTGGCCCCCCTCTTTGAATCCGGAAGTTTCTGAACCCACCTTCCAGAGTGGAGGTTTTTCGCTGGCTCCCGCTGATAATGTAAACATCTCCCGCTGAGGCTTTGTGTTAAACCACATGCGCACACGCACGCGCGGATAGACGCTATATTTCTATCAACATGGCGGCGGATAGTGCTTTCAGAACCTCGACTGATGGAATATATTTTAATCTCGTAGTTAATCTACGTCAGATTCCAGGTGCTGTGACCAACATCTGTGTTGGAAGAGAAACAATCTGATCCAGTTCTAATGTCGCTGTTTATAGAACGAGGCACACGTCGCGCTGCACTATAACATAAATGTGCTAAATAACAACAGTTTAATAATAATAAACACTATTTATGTTAGTGCGAGATATAATGAAGCTCTGAGCTAAATGAAGCTATCTGGACATTATGTGATTCAAATTTAAAATGATGCTAAACATATAGCGTGAACACTAAAGTTGAAAATGAAAACATCCATCCCATCCATTTTCTTTACCCGCTTATTCCATTTTGGGTCACGGGGGTCGCCGGTGCCCATGTCCAGCAATCACTGTGCGAGGGGCGGAGTACACCCTGGATGGGTCACAAGTCCATCACAGGGCCACATAGAGACAAACGAGACAAACAATCATTCACTCCCTCACTCACACCTAGGGACAATTTAGAGTTACCAATCAGCCTAACATGCATGTTTTTGGTCTGTGGGAGGAAACCGGAGCACCCGGAGAAAACCCATGCATGCACGGAGAGAACATGCAAACTCTACCCAGAAAGGCCCCTGGACTGGGGTTTGAACCAAGGACCTGCTCGCTGAGAGGCAGCAGCTCTACCAGTTGCGCCACCGTGTTGCCAAAATGAAAACATCAGGTTTATTTATTTATTTATTTATTCAACACCACAATGTCACACAAACACTGATAATTATACTGAACATACTATTAAAACACGTTAACTAAACTTGAATGGATTGAATGAAAGAAATGAGGGAAATTTAAAATAAATAGTTCATCCAACATCTCTCTTCAACGTCCTCCTGCCCTGCATCTGGGCCGAGCCTCATTCAGAACCGGTTTGCCTGGTGGGAGGACAGCTTCTTCTTCTTTCAAAATGAGTATTTTATCTGCATTTTTGTGCATTTTAAGTTGTTTTTTGATGTGTTCATTCTGAGGCGTTATCCTCCTGGTTGTTTTGCTCTCGGTTGCTTTTATGGTTGCTTTTATCCTGCTGCTATCTGATGTTCACTCTTTGTAGCACTTTGAGATTCACTGTGAATGTAAAGTGCATTATAAATAAAAGTTATTATTCTTTCAGAAAAAAATAAAAACTCAGTTGGTTGTTTTGTAACCAAAGTAAACACAAGCTAACATTATTAAGAACATTTGATTTACCTGCTGTAAAACAGCTACTGATGATCACGGAGTAAAGTCCGACATTGACTCAGTTCTGGTCCACCCAGTGACCGGTGTGGAGCTGTTAGAAGAAGCGGTCCCGCTTGGGATCATATCTGTCGACTCTTATCCAAAATCCAGCTTTAACTTGTTGTTACATTATGTTGTTGTTAGCTGGTTAGCACAGAGGAAAACAACGTGCCGAGGCAGCACGCATGCGCATTAGGTGAAGGTACAAAATTCACAGCGCCATCTAATGACCCGGCATGGTAACTACAGCGGATTCGGGAGGGCGGGGGAGAATCTTCCGGATGCATGTAAACCCAAAATGCGACCGTGTCAACGCAAATCTTTTCCTCTAATTAACATACAAAAAAACCTTCGTTTCCCCCCATCGTGTCCGTGTAAATAGGGCCTTAGAGCTGACATAAGTTGTAAATCAACATTGGTCAGTAATGTACTCTACCTGCCATTGGGGAGTGGTCCCTGCTCTCTGCTCCACTCTACAGCAGGTGGGGGCTCTCCTTTAGCTTGGCAGTAGAACTGAGTGGATTCGCCTATTCTTACTGACACATTTTCTGGCTTCAGCACCAACACAGGCTTTGCTGAGTAAAAGAGAAGAGAGGCTTGGTGAAGCACTGGATGATGAGTTCATTTGGTTAGGAAGGTCTCCTGTTCTGTTGTGGGGGTGTACCATACAGGTGAAAGAGGGATTAAAACAGGATCAATATTACAGTAGAATTGTGAAGAACAAGTTGTTCTTATTGTTGTCTCACCCAGCACAGAGAGGCGAGCTGCTCTGCTTTCTTGCACACCTACACTGTTTTGGGCCACACAGATATAGGAGCCAGAGTGGTTCTTCTCTGCAGGAGCGATGATCAGCTTCCCACCCAGCTCCTACGACAAAAGCACAGTGCAAACAGCAGGTATACGACAATCAGTGTTACTGTCACACAAGTCATTCACAGTTATTGCTCCACATGTTAGAAGCAAAGTGAAATCAACTGCACTTTTTACTTCTTTTACAGATGCACCCACTCCAAATTTGTGGGCCATTATTTATTTTTGACATTTGTACAGCTCAGACACCATTTCATGAAAACAAAATTCCCTGAGTACTGTAATTTCCTGACTACTGAGTGCACCTGAATATAAGCCAAGCCCATTAAATTTAAAAAGAAATGTACAAATATAGGCCTCATTTGTCTATAAGCTGTGGCTGTCCATGTTGTAACATGAGATAGTTATACAGAAAGATTTTTTATACTTTTAATTAAATACTGTAGCATGGCAGCACACCGCTACTGAAAGAGATGTGTATCTCTTGCTGTAGATCAAGAATCAACCACCAAATGGTGTTTTATAGACTTTATCTTACCGTTCAACACACAGACAGAGTGACAGAGCTGTACTTTTTAGCACCTGCCTCTCTGAATATCTCCGCTTCTGCATTACTGAACTGTATTCATTTTTGTACATTTATTGCAAACTGCACAAGCTTTTGCATTTTTGCTCCTTACTCAGTTTTTATCTCTGCTGCTATAAAAATAGAAAAAAACTTTACACTGCTAACCTCATATCAGAACGTTCTACCTCATGCACCACCTACACATGTACTAATGAACACGTGTCCCTGGTGTTGTCTCTTAATTACTTGTTTAGATTGAAATGCTTAGATTAGATGAGATGTATTTTTGTATTTATTATAGGTCTGTTTGTCTTTATTGTACTCTTGTGTATCTACACTGTGTTGTATTTTTTTGCAATTTATGTTCTATGTTGCACCGTGATCCTGGAGGAACGATGTTTCGTTTCAGTATGGTACGTAGCTGAAATGACAATAAAACCTCTCTGACTCTGAACACCACAGGTCTACCTCCCCCACTCATGGTTACTCTACAGAATGGCCTAACACAAACGAACACATAATGAACACAAACTAGGCTAACAGGAACAGACTAATCACTAAAAGAACTATGCTAAACAGCTAACTAAAATGATCAACACTGAACATAAATTTTACACATAATTCCTCCCTGAGGCCAAGTGACCAGCAGTCAACCACCATGAACCACAGAATGCTACAGTACATACCAGTAACATACACAAATACGTACAGTAAATGTTTTGTTTGTCTGAACAGTGCCTGTAACACGGCTGGTTAAAAAATTTAAAATACAGTAATGTATCAGGAAGTCATTTATCGCCATCTACATCTTCCTCCCTGGGGGCACAACATGGAGGGGAGGAGACAGCGCCAAAGAGAGAGAGAGTTGCGACACTCTTTGAACTCGCCGATACGCGGCCACGTGGTTCATGCAGCTGTCAATGATTCCAAACAGCTCATCGCTGTCAGTCAGTGTGAGCGGCTACTGGCGCGACATAACACAAAAATCGACTTTTCTTACTTTACCTGGCATCATTCAGTAATTATTGGGCAATAATGAACTGATTACTTAACTGATTAATGATTATTTCACTGAATATGCTTTTTATCAAAGCATTTTTAGACGCGGCAGATGCATTTATCGTTAAGTTTTAGATGGAAACGAGACTGCAAACACATATTTGTTAGAAAAAAGTCTGTGCAAGACAATGATCAATATAGCCATGTCAGTGTTTTATAACGTTACACACGTAAAAAAAAAATATATATAATATATAAAGCCATTTCTGATGTTCTCTGCACAATAATCTTCATGCTAACAGTGCCATTTTAATTTCAGAAATTGAAGAAGGAAGAAACAGAAAAGAGGCGAGTGACATAAGGGAAAGATGAAAATGTAGCCTCAGAGGACAGGGACATGTCAGGAACTGATGAGCCTGGATCAACAGGGCCAGGAGGATGGATCAATAAGCAATGCAATCAAGGAACAGATGAAAAACCTGAGGGAACAATTAGAACACCAAAAAAATTACATAAGCAGAATAGAAGAACTTCACAGACAAAAAAATTAACACAGTCCTGTGAAGAAAATTGTTAACAATGTAAAAGACAGAAAGAAAGAAACCCAACATTTTTCAGTCAGGTCATCTGGACAGTTTCTTTTTTTTGTGCTGAAACGTTTCAGCACAAAAAAAAAGAAACTGTCCAGATGACCTGACTGAAAAATGTTGGATTGTATACCTGGATTATTGAGCATGGACTTTGTTGTTTTCAACCAGTTTGACAAAATTCGGACATATTTTTACAAAAGATCAGATGAAGACAATTGGCATGAAGAATAACTTCCCAGCTCCATCTCAATGTACCTGTGATAGTTTAATACGTTTTTTGTTACTGTTCTACAGTTTATTGATGCGGATATATTTTTGGTAATAATTCTTATTTCTTGTTCTGTCTTGAAAGAGTGTCATCTCAACTTGATCCATGGTTACCATACACTAAACCAATAATATAAATCAAATGTAAATTAACAGTCCTGCAGTAAATACCAACTTTGTGAAGGTTACGATGTTAAAGTAATTTTATTCAAACATACTGATTAAGCTGTTATTGTTTTGGGAAGACAGAAAATGAGATCTTGTTAGCTTTGTGATACTATGAATGCAACATTCAGTTCACTGGTCATTCTCCTGTGGTTTACCTGGAAAACATTTTAAAAAAATTACTCACCTCCACAATCACTTTTTCTTTAATGATAATGTCACAATTTATGCTGCAGTCTTTGACAAAGGATCTATAACTTTAATTAAATTAACCACGTCAATCTCTCAGAAAAAAAAGGCTAAACATTTTCTAGTTGAGTTCAGTAAATGGAATTACCATTAAAAAAATTGACAACTTTCAAAATTTAGGCTGTAATGGGTATTTTAAAACGCTGAATTAGACAGAAATAGGCCCGTTTAAACCGTCATGATGGCAGAGTTAGCTGTAGTTAAAATACAACTAGCAAGTTAACATGTTTCATTAACTACAAATGGCGACATGGAAGTATTAATGTTGATAAACTGTGTTACAGAACAATCAGCTAACACTTCACAATGGCAAAAAAGTGTCGTATTTTCATCACCTTACAGGAGAAAACGGAGAATGAACTACGCTCAATGCTGGACCCATTTGTGGGTCTGTTTGGAACTATTTACCGCTGCATGACCCACGTGACTTCCGCATTCCATTCTTTCTATGGGAGTCTATTGGAGTGTCGCAACTCTCTCTTTATAGGGCTCTGGGAGGAGAGAACAAGGAGGGGGTGAACAGGAACAAGATTCCCCCCATCCACCTCCACTGTAACCTGTCTCCTTAATTTCAACGGTCAGATATATTTTTTACTTTTATTTATACAGGTAGTCTCATTGAATCATTGGGGGGGGGGGGGACGCTACGTGAGAACCCAGATGTGACGAGGCTAAATGTTTTGGTGACAGGAAGCTGTTAGCCTGTCCCCCCAAAATATCCATATTAGCCACAGCATTGAATAAGCCTCTGGGTTCAAAGTGTGTGAAAAATGTAGCAGCTTATAGTCTGGAAAGTATGGTAAATCCTGAAACTCTAAGAGGTGTTTCAGTCACACAAAATGCTCAGACCTTAGTGTTTTAGGTGGAGGACATAGTCCAGTGTTGCTCCTACCATTATCCAAGGAGGTTTCCCCACCCTGTCAACAGAACCAAGCGCCCCACCTACCAAATCCCCACCCCACAGCAAACAGCTCTGCTACATCCAGACGGACACAGGAGATTGTAGCAGCTAAAAAAAAAAACAAAAAAAAAAAACAACTGTAATGAAGAGTTTTTAAACCAAAAAAAAAAAACTTAAAGCATTAAAATTTAAAAAATAATTTAAAGTACAGTAATTATTTTTATTTCAGGCTGAGACAGCTCTAAAAGACTGACCTAAAAATGTTTAAAACTAGTATTTTAATCAGTTAAATCAGGAGGTTGATTTTCCACTGAGGAACATGAATAAAGTTAAAGGGTTCAAACGGTCTTATTCAGATGTTCCCAGCATGATGCTTTTGATGTGGATCAGATTTCATGATCCTGTCTGTAGTTACAGAAAACAAAGTGAAGTTTTTGAGCTGCATGCATTCAGCTGGGACTGCAGCAAGATAAAGAAAAAAGATAAATTCTGTGAAATTATTGTTTATTAGGTTCTTGAAAATGTATGTTATCTCACTCCAAAAATTGATTGATAGCTGCTGCTGATTATGACTTCATAACTCTTCATGTCTGTGACGTTGGTGAGACATTCAGGCAAGTGACGTAGGGGAAACTGGAGTCACAACTAGATACGACAGTAAATATACTTTCGCCTATGGTACAACAATTATTCCTAATAATTCTATTGTAGAACATGACGTATTAAAAAGATCCATATCCAAACAGTAAGGATACATGTATGATGTACACTGTAGAATCACAATATGAATTCAATGATACTAGAATACTGGTATTAATACACGTGCATGTCAAAATCTCAGAAAGATCATCTTTCATTCAGCAGACCAGTGCTCAAATTCATTGAGTTGTGCCTGATTTTTTTGTATATTTCAATTCAGTTCAGTTTATTTATATAGCGCCAATTCACAACAAAGTTGTCTCAGGGCACTTTACAGGAACATTCACATACATAAAACCCAATTAATAAAGTATTCTATCTAAGGAATCCAGCAGACAAGTTGAATCTTAGCTTTGTTGCAGTCTCCCATCCTGAGCAAGCACAGTGGCAACAGTGTAAAGGAAAAACTCCCTTTGAAAAGGAAGACACCTCCAGCAGAACCAGGCTCAGGACAAGCGGCCATCTGCTTTGACCGGCTGGTTGAGAGGACAGGAAGGAGAGACAGACGAACATAGAATGGTAGGTCCATGGTAGGTGGTATGGTAGGTATTTCTCAAATTGCATGAGCTCTCCCTGTCTGGAAGATGTGAAATTCACTTTCCAGGTATTCCCTGATTTC